GTATTTAAGACAGTGCCTACAGTTTTAGAAAAATAAAATGGCCCAGGAACCCAGGGGCCATGTCTATCTTATTTACTGTTGAATCCCAGTGGCCAGCACAGAACCTGGAACAAAAAAGGCAGCAATACAAACTTTTTATCAAAATAAGTGAGGCGTGAGGAAGCCTAACAATCTAGCGATATTTAGAGGAAGGAGATGACAGACGTGTTCTCCTCTCTACAGGAGGACAGAACAACGTTACGTGAAGAACAGTTTAAACAATCAGGGATGCGGAACCCTATTAGACTGGGGAGAGGAGGCGGGTAGGGGCGCGATGCGATCCTCAGATCTTTTGAAAGGCTGTCCTGGGGAACAGGGTGTATGTTCCTTACAGCCTTACTGGGAAAAATCAGGACGAGGGAATGCCCATACAAGGAGAAAACCTGGCTTTTTTTTTTTTTTCCACAATCCCACGACGTGCAGCGAAGACAGCATGGTGAGGCCCCAGATGCGCAAGCGCCGCACGATGGCAAGGCGGAGTCGCCGAAGCAAGAATTCGGCTGTAGCGGTGTAGATTAAGGCGTCGTCTGACTGGTGAGAGTTTGGCGGGAACAGAAGGATGCCAAACAAAGGAAGTGCTGTAAAATGTCGCTCACTGACGGGGGTGGGATTATGCGACAGAGATTCGGAATTATCCATTTTGATTGGTTGTTTTCTTGAGACACGCCCTATCAGCCTCTCGCCGCTCCTTGCTTCCGCTTGCGCAGCTTGTTTTCCCTTAGTAAAAATGGCCGCAGAGGCTCCCGGCCCCCTCGGAAGCGGAGTGCGCATTTTCATAAGCATGGCCAAAGAAGACAGGAAAAAGCGTAGAGTTCGTGAGCATTGACTGGCTGAGGCAAGAAGCGTTCCGGACGCTGACTGGTTCCGCCGTTCGCGGGAAGGAGTTTGTGGCACCAGCGGGAAGTAGATTTAACACTGCGGCCGCAGCAGGGTTCTGAGGAGTTCGACGAACCCACCAGACAGGCGTCTTCTGGACTTCTTTCCTGAGGGAGTCGGGACCAAGATGTGGTTTAGTAAGGATGAGAGTTGCAAGGGGGATTTAGCAGGAGGGCGGGGGTCGGAGAGGCGTGTGACGGTGCGAGTGGGGGAGGGAAGGGGTGGCGAAGGGGCGGGGGCCGGGGCAAGGTTGTGGGGAAGATTGGGGCGATGCTGGGAGTGGTTGGCCGTGGGGTGAAGTCTGAGGGGGCCTGTGGGTTGTTCAGAAGCTTGGAAGGCAGCACAGCCTTTGATACTGTTGTTTAAAACCAGGTGGATCTGAAAGCTACAGCAGCTCCTCCTTTGGCGGAGCGGGCGGCTACACGCAGTCCCCCGGGGGCTTTGGATCGCCGACGCCTTCGCAGGTTGAAAAGAAATCAGTAGGTTGAAAGAGTATTTCGTTTTATTTCATTCTGTCCTGAAGTTCCTAACTCGTCCCTGAGAAAATTTATGCGGCGAAAGATCGTCAAACACGAATTGATTGGATAATTACCAATTATTGCCTTACCGAATCTTAGAATTAAGTGCTGTAAGTTTAAAAAATGAAATTTCTCCTACTTTAACTTCTACCGTTGAATTGGCTTTATTTTGAAATTTACCAATATAGCTAATGAATCAGTCTTGTGGGAAAACTGGACTATGTTACTAGCGTATTCGCATTCTTCATGTATTCGAATTTTTTTTTTTTTTAATTAAATGTAATGAGGTGATAAAAAGCGGTGGAAAGAGCGTGGTCCTCGAAGTCCGGTAGATCGATGTTCTACCATTGCTCTGACACAGGGTTTCATTGGACAAATTTCTTAACATCGGGAATCAAATGGGATTACTACTAAATGGGATTAATAATGCATACCTTACAAGGCTGTTGTGAGACTTAATATTCTAATATATAGTATATATAAAGTGCGCACCCTGTAGTTACTTTCAATAAATGGTCCCAGATTTTTTAAGTTTTTATTTAAGTAATCTCTACACCCAACGTGGGGCTCGAACTCAGAACCCTGATACCAAGTCACATGCTCTTCTGACTGAGCCAGCCAGACACCCCTGGTCCCAGATATTTTTGTTAAAAAGAACATGAGTGTTGGAGCCAGGATAGATAGTGTCTGGAGTCAACTTTTAAGTGGCAGTATCTTTAGTACAGCAACTTGAACCTTGTGGCCCTTGGTTTTTCTCATCTGATAATGGTACCGTACTACTTATATCACTGGTTCTGAGAATTGATAAATAAGGTAATGTAATGTATAGGAAAGTGATCTGTTATAAGCTGTCCAAATGCTTGTTATTCACTCTTTCAGAAAAGAGTTTGCATTTAACAACTGCTATTGATTGCATCCTTTAAATACAAGGTTGATTTGGCTACTCGTTAGATGTCATTCAGATGTGGTGTTAAGATTCAGTATTAGCAGGTTCTGTTTTTTTTGTACAGGTTGATTAGCTTTTACCTAAACTGTTAATTCAGGGGTGTGTGTCGGGGGAAAGAATTCATTGATAATTCCCATATATTTGGACATTGCTTTATATTTTTCATACAAATTATTTCATATAATCCCATAAGGTATTTATTGTTTACTCCATTGTACAACAGAGGGTCTGGGAGGTGAAGAGACTGCCTAAGCTTCTATAGCTAGTAAGTGGAACTAGATAGTGCATACAGAATGCTGAGCAAATCCAAAATCTGGGGAGCAGCTTCTCTTTTGCAGTTTCCTTTTTCCCAGGAAGACCAGGGGGGACTAGAGTACTCTTTGTCTTCCTTGAGGTTGTGAAGGAGAAAACAAAAGATCATTGGTTTTCATCTTTTCTAAGCTTAACTGTTTTCTTCATTCCAGTCGATAGAATTTTTCTCTCAGGATCCCTAGCTTGGGCACCGTATTAAGACAGCTTTTCAGAGAGTGATGATGGTTGTAAGCTAGAGACTCAACCCAGATCTTTTTGTTCTTAAATCTAGTGCCTTTTCCACAGTAAATTAGATAAACACCCTATCTAAACTGTTTCCTATCTACTGTAAACCTGTTACATTTTATTGAACCATGTGAAATTTTCAGTAGTGACTACTTTTTACCCAAAAAATGGTGGTTTCATACAATACTGTCAGAGTAACCTGTGATTCATAGCTAGAAGAGAATTTTTAAAAATTAAATATACTTATGCTGGCACACTCTCTGTGAATCTCTTTGGAACAAACCAGGAACCCCTTGTAATAATAATAGGTGCTTAAAAAACAAGAAACACCTGTGATTTGAGATGAATTTGAAAGTATTGCTAACACCTCAGTCATTACCCATATGTAACTTTTTTTTTTTTACCTGAGGAGTAATAGTATTTGTTGAATACATACTACATGTAGAAACCAGCATTAGCACTTTTATATACATTATATGTTTTGTTTACAATCTGGAAGGTGGATATTCTCATTTGACAGAAGAGGTGGTGGCATGTCCAGGGCTATGGAGCTGGGATTGAACACAGGTCTATAGGACTGTGAGGCACCAAAGCCCATGTTCTTGTTCCTGTTTGGTTCTTAGTTTTCTTACGCTGAAAATAAAATGAAAAGCTCACCAGTGATAGGTAGAAACAGAATATATCGTAGTGAGAGCTAAAACATGGGACCTCAGCAAATTTTAAATCTATTAATACCAGTGTTGCATGTAACTTCACCTGTACAATTCCATAAGGTAAAATTGAAAAGCGTTGTTGATTCCTCACATCCTTAGTAAAAACCATTACAGGTCTAAACGGTGAGGAACAACCAGTTGACCAAATAACATTTGCTAACATTCTTTGAGTGCTTACAATGTGCCAGGTATTATTCTAGGTACTTCACCATATACTTAATTTTCATGATTTTATCATTCCTAGTTTTACAGATAAGAAAACTAAGATAGAAATGAGTTGAAAAACATGACCAAGAACACACTGCTCCTGAGTGATAGAGCCATATCTTAACCTCAAGGTTCACTGCTGCCTTTTGTGATGTGTGCTGGTAGTTGGCAGTGCTTACTTTTTACCATCCTGGCAATACTCACCATTCAGAATGAGGTTTCAGCAGAAGGAAATGTTGCAAGTATCATAGACCTTCAGGACAAAGCTGAAACTGCTAAATCCATGAGTGCCAAGAGTCTATTATGTCTTACATGTAGATAGCTATTAGGTTGTTGATTTCTGACAAGAAGAACTCTAATCTTTAATCCACCGTGCATTTTCTTCCGTGTACTTATTTCCTAAATGAGTTTGTGAGAGTGCATATTTACCCTTAGCCTGAAATACCCATCCCTTATTGTTTTTTTACCGTCGATGTTTTCATACTTCAGGGTAGAGCCCGAATGCTAACTCTTGAAAGTGCCAGTACGTTTTTCTGGGATCCCACGTAATGCATCTCATTCTATAGTATATCCAGACCGGTTTGTTATTTACATTTGTGCCTCCATTAGGTGGGAGTGTGTTGAGAGTAAATCCTATTCCATTTTTCTCATCTTTATGCCGTGAGACAAGCCCTGGCCAGTGGTAGGTGACAATAAGAGTTTACAGTGTTGTTAGGCTGCTTTTGAATGGGATTTCAGTGTCCTCATTGGACATTCTTCTACCCAACATGTTGTGTCCTTTCCCTTTAAGATGTCCAGTGTGGCCAAGCCCTTACCCCATTTTCCCCAGGACTTGCATCCGATGGTCAGAGCATCTGTCCTTAAGAAAGCTATACCTTGAACTTTGTTACATTTTATCATGAGACTTAGAACAACTCCAAAGTTCTGTCTCTACTGGCCATTTCTCAAACCCTTTCCAAATAGCATCTCATGTCATTGGTGAACTAAACAAACAGCCAGCTCTGGCTCACCTTTGTCCTAAAACTGGAGTATAAGTTTTGTCCCAGAAGCAGGTCATCCTTCCTTATGTTGTCCCCACTCTGGCCTGCTCATCTTAGTGAAACCATAGTGCTACACAGACTTACCCATTGATCAGGAGCTTTGGAGTCAGACACACCTAGTTTGAATTCTAAATTGTGGTATTGGTTAGCTATGTGATCTTGGTTTCCATCTCTGTGAAGCAAGGGTGTGAAGCAAGGGTGATGAGATTCATTCTGAAGATTCAATGTTATGATGTATGTAAAGTGCTTGGCACATGAAAGGTGTTAATGGGTGGTAATTATTATTTTCTTAATTGAATTTTTTCTTTTCAGAGGGCCCGAGCCCAGCACATTGTACCCTGTACCATATCTCAGCTGCTTTCTGCCACTCTGGTTGATGAAATGTTCAAAATTGGGAATGTTGAGATTTCACAGGTAAGTAAAATAGTTTGTGGAAGAGTCCCTTCATCATGTGAAGAACGAAATAAAAATTGTTTATTTAAAAATACGTAAATGTTGTTTTAGTTTCCAGGAAAACCAAACTTTTCTTTCCTTCTGATCTAGGTCACTATTGTGGGTATAATCAGACATGCAGAAAAGGCCCCAACCAACATTGTGTACAAAATAGATGACATGACAGCTGCGCCCATGGATGTTCGCCAGTGGGTTGACACAGATGTAAGCAGTTATTTTTGAATTACAGTGGGGTTATTTTGGGACTCTGGAGATGTTGGACTTTTTTAGTCTTTTCAATTTCTTAGTATAAGAATAATTTATAAGCAAGACATCAAAGGCAGAAACCCTAAAATGAAAGGTTAATACATTTGAATTCATAAAAATTTAAAATGTTCCAAACTTCACTATAGTATAAGCAAAGTTAAAAGGCAAGTGACAGGAGACATTAGAATGCGAACTCTGTGGAAGCAGGGGTTTTTTGTTTTTTTTTTTTAAGAGAAGGAAAGGGTGGTGGGACAGAGGCAGAGGGAGAGCAAGAATCTTAAGCAGGCTCCACGCAGGGCTCGATTTCACAGCCCTGTGATCGTGACCTGAGCATAAATCGAGAGTGAGACACTTAACCGACTGAGCCACCCAGGTGCCCTGCCATTTTTAATTTATTAAATTAGCATAGAAAAAAAAAGAATGACAGTGTCCACTTCTGGTAAAGAGTAGTAGCTAACACAGTGCCTCTAGCACTTAATAGGCACGTAACTAAATATTTGTTGAATGATTTGTCATTGTTAGTCAAGGGAAATGGATGCCATCCTACCTTGATGGTTTGAGTATAAATTGGTATAACCTACCTCAAAAATCAGCTGGTGATCAAAATCATCTATCATAAAAATGTTGATCTAGCACTTCTCTTCTTCTAGCACTTCTTCTAGCACTTCTAGCACTTCTCTGCTAGAGGTTTACATTAAGGAAATAATTAAAGATGTACACAAAGATTCAGTTGTAAGAGTGTTGATCATAGCATTGTCTATAATAATGAAAAAAAAACAGTTTCAGGGGCACTTAGGTGGCTCAGTTGGTTAAGTGTCAGACTCTTGGTTTAGGCTCAAGTCGTGATCTCACAGTTGTGAGACTGGGCCCTGACCTGAGTTGTGCTTTGCACTCAGCGGGGAGTCTGCTTCCCTCTCCCTTTGCCCCTGCCCCATTTGCTTGCACTCTCTCTCAAATCCTTTTTTTTTTTAAACAATTTCATGGGGTGCCTGGGTGGCTCAGTTGTTAAGCGTCTGCCTTCGGCTCAGGTCATTATCCTGGAGTCCTGGGATCGAGCCCCTCATTGGCTCCCTGCTCAGCAGGGAGTCTGCTTCTTCCTCTGCCCCTCACCCTTGTGTTCTCTCTCTCTCTCTCTCTCTCTCTCACACTCTCAAATAAAATCTTTAAAAAGAGAAAAGAATTATTTTTAAAAATTTTCAAAATGCGAGCAATAGGGCACTATTAAACCATCATATATTTATGATGTAAGGTGATATAGAAATGGATATACTGTTACAAAGTGTTTACCATAAACTTGAGAGGAAAAGAGCATGTTACAAGATGGTATACATGGTATGACCCCATTTTTGCAAAGCAACATGTATGTATCTGTATAAACATGGAGAAAATAAACTAAAAGGAAAGCTGTACTTTTTATCCTTTTTATTTTTTTTTTTTGAAGATTTTATTTATTTATTTGACAGAGACTGAGAGAGGGAATACAAGCAGGGCAAGTGGGAGAGGGAGAAGCAGGCCTCCTGCCGAGCAGGAAGCCCGATGTGGGACTCAATCCCAGGACCCTGGGATCATGACCTGAGCCAAAGGCAGACCCTTAATGACTGAGCCACCCAGGCGCCCCTATCCTTTTTATTTTTATTTTATTTTATTTTTTTAAAGATTTTATTTATTTGAGACAGAGAGAATGAGAGAGAGAGAGCACATGAGAGGGGGGAGGGTCAGAGGGAGAAGCAGACTCCCCGCTGAGCAGGGAGCCCGATGTGGGACT